CTGTTAGAATGCTTTTTCAATGAATTTAGATGATAGCATAAGGTAAAAGTTTTAAAGTTTTTATGAGTTCAAAAGAAAAATTTCCACTCATAGATGTTAATAATAGGAAGATTGGTTAGTATGTGATTAATGTGAAAAAATGACTTTGACATTGTGTTGATCTTGAAATAAGTAGAAACTTCTTCCTATATAAAAGCTCAAGCCTCTGTCAATAAGCTTAAGTGAAATGCCGATATGAAACGTGAGATGAAGTTGTTGATGAATAACAAGATTTGGAAGCTATTAAGGCTTCATGTTATGCCAAAACCAATAAATCCATTATAAAAAAACAACAACAAGTGAATATGTGATTTGTCATTTTCAAAATACCTCAATGTAACAACAAAGTTCATAATAAAATATTACAATTGTTTAACGCTAGATGTATCTTGCACGTCCGTATATACATGGTAGCTGAAATGTTATGATTTATTCTAATTAGATTAACTTATACTAATACTAAACCTAATTCAAATTAGATTGACATTAGTTTAATTCAATACTTTAATTAACAGTATGCTCCATTCTCTATATAAGTACTTTGTGGAAAGTCCTAGACTAATATCTAACAAAGTTTCATTTTTAAACAAGAGCTAATTAGAAGTAAGTCATGATATAGTAAAAATATATAGAGGTAATTAAAAATTGCTAGTTAATTTTTCTTTGTTATATCAGCAATGTCAGCATAGTAGCACAATGTATTCTAAAATTCTCTAAAAGAATAACTTTGATGAATACATAAACTAGATTAAATGTACCATCAATCTTGACTTTTTTTTTTGCTGCTTCCACTGTTGCTACATACTCAGCTTCCGTTAAATACTAGGTTATGCTCTTTTGCAATTTAGATATGCAATTTATGCATCCATCATCAAGTGCAAACACATGTCAAGTTGTAGATTTTCTACAGTCACATCTTGTCATAGTCATCATCAATGTAAATCATTAACGTTTTGGCATTGTCTAATGAACGTTTTGGCAATGTTTAATTTTTAATACTCTACAAATACATGATTATTCATTTCACTCTTATCTAATGCATATCTATGAATTTAACACATACATATTCATCTTGTCCATTGCTAGAGCTATATTAGGCATTGCACATACTATCAAATACATGAAATTGTTCACGGCATTATTATAAAAAACATATAATGTCAATCCTTTTTCAATGACATTGGTTGGATATTGAGCAGCAAAAAATTGTGTTGTCAAAGTAATACATACTGTTTTTGAGTATCTCGTGTTGAACTTGTCAAGTACAAGTTCAATGTATTTTTCTTGACTCAATCATAGCCATTTCTTCACCAAATTACTATGAATTTTCATTTCAAATATTGTATTGAACGTATTCACATCCTTAATGTTGAATGTTAACTTCAATTAATTCTTGCAGACATCAACATCGTATTGATTCTTTGCCAAGATGAGGAAGTCATTCAACTAAAATTGTTAGAATAATAAGATTGAAGAATTCAGTGTTTAAATTTTTTTTAAACACAAGTATAATACATATCGCGTAAAAATCTTTGTGCTTTTATGAATTCATCAAATCTTGCATTTCATTGCGTAGAAGCTTTTTTCAATACATATAATGATTTTAGCAATCTAAATATCAACTTCTCTAGACCTTTCTTATCAAAACCAACTGGTTGTCTCATGTAGATTTACTCATGTGAAGATTTATAGAAAAATGCTACAACTACTTTTATTTGATATATAATAAGACTAAATATAGCAGTCAATACACATATTAAACAAATTATAGCATAATTTGTTATGTATGAGATTACTTGGTTATGATCACTTTGTCTTGTGTGAATTCTCTCGCCAACAATTTGACCTTGAAAATACTTCTCTTTTGTTGGACTATTATTGAGCTTCTACATCCACTTACAATGAAATATAGCTTGATTACTAGAAAGTTCAACCAGTTTCTAAATCTTGTTATCAATCAACAAATGTATCTTCCGCTTCATAACACCAATCAATCTCCACTCAAGATTATTGACAAAAACTCAAGCTTTTGTTTAAAAAATGCTTTTACTTATTCCAGATCAATACAATACCATCATCATATTCTATATCAATATCACAATCACTAAGAATAAATAAATCAGCCCATAATCTTTAACTTGCAAGAACTCTACTAATCCAATTTGAAGATTTTGTTACATAAATTTTTGGTTAATCTCATTTGTATGATGTAGAATTTGAAGATTCGTCAACAATAATCTACTATTGAAATTCCTATTATTCACAAATTTGCTCCATATGTAATCTTTCTTTGTGTCACATTATTAATCACATAATGATCAATTTCGCCCTCAACAACATCCGTGAGTGAAGATTGTTTCTTGTGTGTACGTGAGGTCAAAAAACTCTTTTTGTCTTTCAATGATATGAACTAATTGAAATAAGCATTCCTACTGATAATAACTTTGGTAAGCTACAAGATTTTATAGTCTTTAAACTTCACACTAGTATTAGATTCAATAAAACAACACTTCTTATATATAAGGTCTTACTTGATACTAATTTTTTTAAGTTATGAAAGTATATGCCACTCAATCAAAAATGTTTGAAACAACTATAATCAACCATCAGTTTGTCATTAAGTTTAGACGGTATCAAAAAATTGATTAGGTTCAAAGGAAAAAAAAGTTTACCAAATAAACTGTGGTATTGACAAATTCAATTCAAAATTCATCCAATATACTAGATTTTCTTAACGTACTATACATCAAATTGAAAGTTCACTAAGTAGTTATTTTTTAAGCCAAAACTTACAGAACATGACTTCCAGAATCACATTGTGTCCCATCATTACAACAGTCACTTGTTCGTTATCTACTTATACACTTCTAATGGCTGAGTTTAAGTTTGCCAAACGTGACCAACTTTGTTAAGATAAAGTGAGAATTTTTAACCTGGTATACTTATTTTGCTGCTATTTATTTTGAGATCTTCCTCATCATGATTTTCAATCTAGATCCTTCAGTTCATCCATCAAACCCAATTTCTGGCTCTAGATATTGGTTGATTACGTTCATAATCTGCATAGCAGTAGGCTACAGGCTTAGAAAAAAATGCACCTCAAAACATTGAGCAAGCGTTTTGCAATTTTAGCCAATTGAATGTTTCCCAACACATTCAAAAGTTCAAGCTTGGAGATAGCATTGAAGTTTGTGAAAAACAAAATTGTGACTTCATGATAGACAAGCAAAATTTTGGAGCTTGTCTTTCATTTAGACAAGTTTATCACGGAGATGTGATTAAAACAAGATATTGTCAATCTTCATTATGATAATGAAGATGTGATTTATCTTGCAATTAACCAAGTTATGGGAGGTAGAGTGAAGCAAATCAAGATTCGAAACCATTTTCTTTGACAAAAAATGTCAGAGGAAATGATTGAGCTTGTGAAGATTGACCTTAAATTCAATCTGACATATAATTATCAAAGTGATTCCTTTGGAAAGCTTTTAAAGTCATTGTATTATATTGCAAGTTTTGCACACTTAGGTAGCACAAGTAGTTAGGTCTAATACAAATCTAGTCATATATATATCACTCCATTCTTTATGAGCTACAACTTAATTTATGTTAATACTAGTTTATAGAAGTATATATGTTTTAGATCTACTTATAGAACTTTCCGCAGTTAGAAATATATGGTTAATGAAAATTATAAACACCAAGACATGAATCAAGTGAAAGATTGTTAGAATTTAACTCATGCTTTGAGCTCATTATAGTTAGGTTAATTGTGGCATATGAGTTGTAGTTAGGGTTTCTATTAGATCTAGTTAAGGCTCTACTATATGATCGAGCTTGTGAAAGTCCATACCGAAACTTTTTGCTCATTTCTATCATAGCATCTCGAGAGAGTAAACTTGTACTCATGTTGGTTTTGAAGATGGAATAAAATTTCTTGTTTATATTTCTACTTGTGCAGAGTGGCTAAGAATGCAGGGTTATTCATAACATTAAGTTCTCGAATTTTGAAATAACACAATGGAAATATATCTAACAACCTAATATGAAGATATGTTATTTTTTATAAAGTTATACAATCAGATAGATTGTAAATATTAAATTTGTTAGGATTGATAAACATGAGTATTATTGTGCATCCGTGACTCATGTTAAATATAAGATTGGAATGTGAATATTTTTGTAATATCTTAAATTTAATTTTTTGTATTCATAATTTATTTATAAAATAATTCATATAGTAAATTGCAATATTATTGGATAATATAAGACAGGAATCATGTATGTTAACTTGCACAATGTCATATCATCAAATGTGGAGGTGTTGAATATAAATTATAGCTGGATTGGAAAAGATCTTTTTATCAAAACGTAACCATCAAATGGTAATATATATTTATATTTGTTAATATTACATATCATCAAATTTTGTCGGTTTTTAACGATCTTTTTTGATACAGCCCTTCCGTTTCCATGAGTGGACTTCTCCCTTTTAGAACGACGGAGAGTGAGTGTAAATCTGTGACAAGAAGATCTAGAACTTCGCCTTTTTTATCTCGTAGCATATTGAATTCCGACCGAGAACTTCCATCCAATGGGAACCATTCTTGATATACATCTGCTTTCCTCCAGCTTTCCCAATTACCAATGGGACAGAGATATTGTCGATTTCAGAATATCTGACGTTAACAGGTACTTCTCAAGTGCACAATCACATTCTCTGTGGGGTTCCATCACAAGTCCATCACAGAGGTGTCAAACTGAAAGGACAAGAAAAGTAATTGGTGTGATCAAGAGGGAAGGCTCTCGAGATAGGCTTTCGAATGTACCTGGAACATCCCAAATTGTCTCAATGTAAAGAAACGGCCGGATGGGATTTGTGGAAATATCAGACAACTTGAATGGTTGTAAGTAGTGCACATAGTTGCTCATACAAATTCCTACCTTTAATGTGAAGAGAGAAATCCTTGAACAAAACTTTCATACTGATGACGTCACTAAGACCAGTAGGGGCTGCCTACAGCACGAAGATTTATAAGTTCAGTAGGGCGTGTTTAATTAAGATTTTGGATTGGACTCAACTTTCAGATTTTGACTAGCTGCAGAGACGTACCTTAGATTGTTACATTTTGACCAGACTTCTCCTTGTGTGATTTAGGTGGAGTTGCCTCTTTTCATCTAACACCAGCTCCTGTTGTGAAGGCGCGAACAATAAGCATAGAAATAGCAGCTGAGACAAGAGTCAATAGATCCTACAACATACCTTGACAATGACAATCTACAGTAACTGGATGTCTGTATGTGTCTCAGCAATATCTGGCCATTCCTTATTTCGCAACTTGAAATGACTTTCAGTAAAAGAGAATGTTGAAGGTTGCCCGCTGCATCTCCAGGAGTTCAGCCGAAGCAGAATTAAGGTGCGACACTGAGCTCCTCCTGTTAGATTTCGGTACACAATGGTAGAACGGATTTGTCAACGACCCGGTCGTCTATGCCAACATTGATATTAGCAGCTGCTTTAATACTTGCAGCTGGAATGTTGTCAACTGTCCACATGATTTCTGTAGCTGATCCTGATCCATCCTGGAGGATTTCTGCATTGCCGATATTGTGCCGGAATGATTTCCAATGGCTTCCCTTGTGAACTGCCTGCGCTTGCTATCACCGAGGACTTTCTGGGCATGCCGAAGCCTCAGATGCCACCAGATCTGCTTTGATCGGAATTGGAACACTCGCATTCGTCAGAGAGTGGCCGGTTCTGAACTCTCAGGGATTGTCTCTCATTCGCCTTGATATTGTTTTCTGGTATTATCATCGCTTCCCACACCCACAACTTGGCCACTGAGACTCTGTACTGCTTGGAGGGAGAAATTTATACGGGGAATGACACCAACAATCCTCGGTACGACCCCACCATATCCAACAAGGTCTAGGCAAAGATGGTGATCAAGGGAGAAACTTTCATTTTCTCCAGAGGATCACTACTCTGTCAGCTGAACAAGGGGAAGGTGCCTGCAGCAAGTCTGAACGTCTTGAATAGCCAGCATCCTTGAACTGAGTTGATGCCTTCAGCTATGTTCGGAAAAGGCATCGACCGCGAAATGCTGGACAGAGCGCTCTTCCTGGACGACACTCAAGTTGCTGCTGTTGACACCATGTTCCTACAGTAAAAGATCCATATCCTAGGTATCACAAATACCTGGCTAGCTATAGAGCTAATATGGAAACGGTGCTTGCTTTTTCTAGGCCCAATGTTGTAACAAAGCCTTTGCCAAGGACACGACTACGTCCATCTCTTAGGGAGTAGTATGCACTTTGAAGTCTCAGAGTAGATATTTCACACCAAAAGCGTTGCAATAGCAGAACACTAGCTGTGAGAATCTTGGATTACAGAACTTTAGTGAAAGCTTTCAATATAAACATCATTATATTCATTAAATTATAATCACTGGTTTGAACGAACTTATTGCACACTTACATTCACGTCTAGTTCCGTGGAATACAAAAGTTCTTCATGCATTTGTTCTTTTCGCCGTTGTGATGTGTCACCTGTCAATATCACCACTTTTAAGACTTATACTCATTCGTTCAGTCAGTTCGTTCAGTTTTAAGACTTATTAGCGAGTTGAAGATTTAAGCTGATCATGTGATCATGGGATTGGAGGATGGATGAAAACACTGGATACAGACAGTCGGGAATGTTTCCAATAAACAACCGATTTTGCATATACAATCTTCCAGGTTTGTTGAGTGCTAGAAGCTATTCTTCACCATGACAACACAAACACGCCGATCTGATCACAGGGTTCACAATGCCAGGCCTACACATTACTAGTTTGAAATCCTGGAAGTGTTTTAATACATTCACCTGTAATGACCGACTTCATTACTGAGTTGCATGCATACAACATGCACGTAAAAAGATCCGGAAATCAGAAACGAGGCCACGATTCACTTTCAAATCATTAGAGAAGTGAAGAACTAATGAATCTGCTGCACATTTGTTGAACTTAGCAAATGTTGTTTGTGGAACTGGATGTTCCTCTCACACTCCAGATACCTGGTTCGTACTTTTCTAGTTCTTTCATTTCAATGACCAGTTTCTGGGATCAAATCCTTGCGAGGACTTTTGAAGGGTAGAGATTCTTTGCAGGGCCTTAGATGGCTCTAGGACATCTAATTCAACAGGTAGAGAGACACCGAAAAAAAAATGCAGACGGCAGAAGATTTCAGACGACCCATTGTATTTATACAGTAGCTACTTAGAGATACACACCTTCTGTCAACTGCACCAAGGTTTACATGTTGCTCAGAAGATCTCCAGCCATTAAACATTGAGATTGCATAGAAGCATGCAACGGTCTCCTCAGCGTTACTGCGTGCGTGATACAGTTATGAACGTCTGTCTCCCTTGGTTCTCAAATTGCCATAAACCGAGTTGTTCATAATGGCCCTGCAGAAGGCTCCAGTTAGAACCTCTACCATGGCATCTCGATGAACGTATCATGGGAACGAATTTGGATTTTATCCACAGGTCCAGTGATTTTACTCTCTGATACCAGCTCATTTGAGGGCTGAGTTTTAACATTGTTAGTGAGACTTATTCTTCCTCACTTCACATTGAGACATTCGGCTATTGATTACCATCTATACCTCAATTTAGCCTCTTACTTAGTATAACAAAGATTGGTCGTTTATGAATACTCCTATCTTTAGAGAGCTTGCATACTAGTGTGTGCCCTGACTCTTGCTTTAAAATACAAACTGAAGACAGCTAGTAAGACGTTTAACCGCTTCGGTAAGTGCCTTACCTGCCCTGCTACGGGTATGAATCTATCTAAGAGATGGTTAATCATCATCCATATTTGTAGATTAACAAAGATGTCTTAATGGCACATATCATCTACATGGAAAATTTTATACTTCACAACCTCTACTTGGAAATCTTAGATCTTGTGACTTGAATATGATTGTTCATCAAGTAGAATCTAAAAACGTACATTATTAACAAATCTTATGTCTAGTACTTGTAACATTAACTTTCTAATCCCAGATTATATACAGGATTTCTAACCTAAATTGATTTTTAAATTATTCAAACATTGTATACATAGATCTTTATGGTAGAGAAAAAATCATAATACTAATGGCGTTATAGGTTTCAAAAAAATTCTCTCAGATCATGCAATGAGTTCTCATATCCAAATATAATTGACCTCGTACTAAGTATCATCATGGACTATTAACATTTTAAAATAATTTTGGTAAATTTATCAATACTATTTGATAGAAGATGCATACTTGTTATGCTTAAAAATGTTCAAATAAATGTCATTTTTATCTTATACTTAAAAAAAAAATGATCCAAATATTTCTCTTCGAGACTTATTTTGTAAACTTGAAAGGAAAGTAATCAGAAATTTTGGACTTGTTTATTTATGTAATTAATAATTGATAAAAATACTATTTTTAGAAACGTTCAAAACACACACATATATTTATTTGTTTATTTATTTATTTATATACGAAGTCTATTTGATTACTTCAGATTAATATATTTTGCTTAAAATATATATATATATATATATATATAGTGTATCTAAATAGCGTTTTTTATTATGTATTTTTCAGCCATCTTATTAGGTGTCACTGATCAATGTGATCTGGACATAGTGCTAGTAAATCTAATTTTTAGAATCTGAAAATTAAAAAATTAATTTAAAACAAAAGGATTTGAAGAATATTGAAATCTGATATTGAAGTAAATTCGATAATGATAAATTATTGATTTTTTTCATGATCATAAACTATGTGTAAATTACAGGGGAAGATTAACTTGAAATCAAAGTATGCAATAGGATAAAAATAATCTTGAAATTTACTTTTCAATAAAAAAAATTCAAAAATTCAAAAATATACATTTACAAAAATTCATCAAAGATAATGCAAATTTTTTAAAAAAATTCAGGTGATGGACATTTTTCATTTTTCTTGTATTTAACATGTTTGTGAATAATTTTTTATTATTTTTTAATTCAGAAATTCAATATACATTCTCAAATATTTAAATTAAAACTGTGACGTTGAATAATCATAAATTTTTTAAAATTTTATTTGCTGACATAAAGTCATATTTTCATGAACCCTTTTATATTTGCTTTCCATATTCTAATTCTAATTTTTTAACATAATAACTTATGTATGAAGACTATATAATTCAAGATTTTTTTATCTGAAATACTATATATAAAATATGCTCATCGATGTTTCACTGCTTCTTGTTGAATTATATCAGATGGATTTGCTTCCACTTGTTAGAACTTGCTTGGGAATAAAATTTCAAATCTATCTATTTCGCCTTTTTTTTATCCCCGATGGACCGGTCTCCTCAATTCTTTTGATGGATTAAAGCCCAAGCTACGATACTCATTTCAACCCACGACAAAGATGAACTAGAACTTCATACAAAGTCTACTACTTCACATTTGCTTAATATCTTTGAATTATTCTAGTGAATCTTTTTTTCTCAAGCCAGTTGCTACTTGATCCTCAAACTACATCTTGTCAACACTCCTAACGGAGAAAAAAGATATTTAGGGTTTAGGGTAATAGTAGGAGTTTGTGTAAGAGCACCCTTGTTCTGCTGAAGCCCTCACTTGCAAAATCTTTAATATTAACAAAAATTTAACAAAATGAGTCCTTGAAATTCTGTAAAGACGAATAATTGAAAGATAGTGTGCGAACAAGAGTATCTAGATAATGCTGGAAATCAATACTGGAAAGAAAGTTTGATACGGTTATGCTCTTACCATGGCTTGTCGTCAATTCGCGAGAGCCAATGAGTCTGGGCCTGCGTCCTGCAAAAGGTAACCAAAAGACTAGATATTATGGGCGAATAAAGGCAATGGTCATTGGAAGTTTAACATGAGGGAAAACTTTCACGATTCTCGGGTTTTAGCAGGACCATATGGCAAGTGAGTTACAGGTACTCAGAAACCCTAGAGTTTTTGGGACAAGCTAGAAACCCTAACTTGCGTGTAGTTACAAGCTCCTCCCTGTCTAACAGACGATATTGGAAGTATCTAAAAAACGTCAACAATCAATATTCTTCCAGGTCAAGCTTTGGGGTCTACTGTAGAGGCCCGGACAGCCCTCTCCACTCACCTCCACGAAAAGGGCCAAATAAAAGCGCCACCGCCAAAATACTCCACGGCCACGTTTACACGTCCGGTTTCATGCGCTAGACATCAACAGTTGGCCCTGAATCCCTCATCACGTCAGCCTCCTGTTAGACCCGGACCGTCGAACTCTTCATCGGAAAGCCTTCCACTTCTGCACGCCCGGGCCATGTCCGCGGCCCACTGCGTCGTCGACACAGTTCTTGCACCACAGGTTCAAATTTCACGTTCTATTCCATCGATACGATTTGACCACACATCCGGAATGGGGCTCCGCAGCCGGTCAGCAAGCCAGTCACCAATTTCTTGAGCCTACCGGCCTGAACCAGACCCCGCTCTGGGAGGGGGGGTATATTCTTGTCTTGGTCCGTCCTGTCCGGAGGCTTAGCCTTGGAGGACCGCCGATCTCGATCGTGGACAGGATCATCTGTGAAGGGTCCGAGCCCACAGATGGCCCTTCACGCGCAGAACATGACGGACCCGCACCTGGGAAGAGATTTGGAATGGATAAACAAACTAGATCGGTCGACCTGCGTGACAGGTAACTTCCCAGATTTATGCCGAGGCCGGTCGCCTGAGAACTTCAGGTCTCGGCGAAAAGACCTAATATAAGAAATGCGTCCGTCCGAGGTCCGTGACCGGTTGCAGAAAGCGTCAGACGGAAGGAGGTCGTCGGCGGTAGGATGCACGAGGTTACTGAGTATAGTCAAGGACCGGAGGCTCAACAACGACGAGGTTGCGCCGTGGTAGGAGAGGACAGTTCCGGTGAAGAGGAGGTGCCCGAACAGAGATGTTCCCGGCACGGCGCCGGCGGAAAACCCTAAAAACGCCCGTGGTGACACGAAACCGGAGCGCGAGAGAATTTGGCGGAACACGGGTGCAATCTCATGGAAACGCGGGTCAGAGAAGCGCCGGTGGGACAGCCCGGGATGGAAAGCGCGAGGTTCGACTCGGGATGCCAAGGGGAGGGTTCGACGCGTAGGACGGTCTCTTTTGCTTGCTGCTGAGCTCCACCGCCGCTACTGCTGTGCGCCGCCGTCTCTCACAAGAGAAACTCTTGCACATCATCCCCCCCCAAATCAATCGGTGAGAGAGCTTTTCTTTCTCTGGAAACCTCTGCTCGGTCTCTCTTCTTCGTCTTTCAATCTATTCCATCGTCCTTTCTAGTCTATGAGCCGGCTGCCAAGCCGGTTGTGGTAGAAGATAATCGTGTGATTTCGCGCCAGCTTTCGTTCTCTACATATCTGGTGCGTATCTTGTCGATCCGACTCGACTCCGGCACTCAGGGGCTGTTTGTTGTCGAGTGTTGGCGCAATTGTTGTGGGGTTTGCGATAGCGACTTATCTTTTTCCAGAGTCTATCTTATCGAGGTAAATGAGTTTGGTTCGAGCGTAGCAGGCCGTGTAGATGAGGTAGTGGCTTGGACGCTGATTCGCCGTGAGTTCTCTTCATCAGCGCCGACGATCAAATTTCGAGATAGTGCTTTGTAGTTGGTAGGGTTGGGGCCAGAGAGCACGAATGTTCGAGACGTAGGCAATCCGCTACCGCGTTGGAAACTGGTTTTCTGCAGATTGCATGTGCCGTACATAATTTTGATTAGGTGTATCCGACAGGATGAAGTAGGTTTAGTGGAGCTTCAATGGAGTAAACAGCACAGGGTGTTCTGTCAGCTTTTCGCATCGAGTCGTGCCCAAGAATGGGACGATCCTTTCTCTTAGTCTGTTTCAGGAGGAGCTTCGAGGGCAAATCGACAACGAGGCATCGCCCTGTAACTCGAACGCCGCGCTCTCCGTTCATGGAAACCCTCGATTGGACTAGCGCAGCTATGGCGATATGTTGAAGTTTAGGCATGATATCGGCCCCGTGTTCTTCTAGGTTTAGCAGATAGGTCTTAGAAGTTCGTGGTGTCCTGGTCGCATCTTCTTGACATCTCTGAAACCAGAAACAACGGTATCCAGAAACGCTATCCCATTTGGTGATGGTTTGCGTGTGGCTCTTAGCTTCGATGGCCCATTCTTGAGGAAGGGTCAAATTCGTGGTTTATGTATATCTGAGCATAGCGTGTTGGCCTGACTTTAGGTTGACACCTAGGTCTTTATCTTGCTGCAGGGTCAGAGAACATTCTCTTACGACATCTTCTCGCTGAGATTTGTGATCTTGATCCTCTAAGCGCTAGTTCACGAAGTGTCTCTTGATGCTGTCTTTTGTCGCCTTATCTGGCTAAATAATCTAACTGCGAGTATGAAGCTATGAGATGATCTCAGTCGTAGATGGTTTTGTGTTCACAGACAGCATGGCAGGTTTGGCTCCAGAAGGATCTCAGTTTGACGCCCGACAGTATGACCAGAAGATGGACCAAGTGTAAGTCTCGGAAGTCTTTTCTTGCTTCACTTACACGTTTTAGAGGTCGACCAGATCCATGTTTCCCAGCATTTGTACTAACTGCTCTCTTTCGCTTCCAGTCTTAACCAGGAAGGAGAAGACTTTATCTCCACCTGGGATGAGGTTCACGAGACCTTCGATGCTATGGGTCTCCACGAGAACTTGTTAAGGGGCATCTACGCCTACGGTACGCTGTTTGAAGATCCGTCGGAAGTGTTTATTTCGTCTCTGCCTGTTCTTATCAGCCATAGATCAAGCAGTTGTTGACATTGTCCTCGCCATCACTGTCCAGGTTTCGAGAAGCCGTCTACCATTCAACAACGTGGTATCGTCCCCTTCTGCAAGGGTTTGGACGTCATTCAGCAGGCACAATCTGGAACGGGAAAGACCGCTACTTTCTGTTCAGGTATCTTGCAGCAGCTCGATTATAATCTGGTTGAGTGCCAGGCTCTAGTTCTGGCTCCTACTCGTGAGTTGGCTCAGCAGATTGAGAAGGTTATGAGGGCACTTGGAGACTACCTTCAAGTGAAGGTGCACGCCTGTGTCGGTGGAACCAGTGTGCGTGAGGATCAGCGAATCCTCCAAGCCGGAGTACATGTTGTTGTTGGTACTCCTGGTCGTGTGTACGATATGTTAAGGCGCCATGCCCTGAGACCCGAGTCAATCAAGTGCTTTGTCCTCGATGAGGCTGATGAAATGTTATCCCGAGGATTCAAGGACCAGGTAATCAACTTCCCTTGGGAACGTAAGGATTTCTCTAGGTCTGTGCTGCGGATGTGTTAGGAGACTTTCTGATTTGGGAGATTGTAGTGCTTTGTCAAATTTACTTTATTTAATTAGTGATTACGTTTCCTGAATTCCACTGTTGAGACAGTAAGTGTATCACAGTGACCTCTCTTCCACATGTATCACGTTTCTTCTGCCGTGTATGTCTCTTGAGGCTTTGGCAGTCTGCTGACATCGATTTCCTCTCTTCCAGATTTACGATATCTTCCAGCTTCTGCCACAGAAGCTTCAGGTTGGAGTTTTCTCAGCAACAATGCCCCCAGAGGCACTCGAGATCACCAGGAAGTTCATGAACAAGCCAGTTAAGATTCTTGTAAAGAGAGATGAACTTACCCTGGAGGGTATTAAGCAGTTCTATGTAAATGTTGACAGGGAAGAATGGAAGCTTGATACCTTATGCGATCTCTACGAGACGCTGGCCATCACCCAGAGTGTCATCTTCATCAACACCAGGAGGAAGGTCGACTGGTTGACCGATAAGATGCGCGCACGAGACCATACCGTCTCCGCCACCCACGGTGACATGGACCAGAACACCCGTGATATCATCATGAGGGAGTTCCGTTCTGGATCATCGCGTGTTTTGATCACCACCGATCTGTTGGCTCGTGGTATCGACGTTCAACAAGTATCCCTTGTTATTAACTACGACTTACCCACCCAGCCCGAGAACTACCTCCACCGTATTGGACGAAGTGGTCGATTCGGAAGGAAGGGAGTTGCCATCAATTTTGTCACCAAGGAAGATGAGAGGATGCTGCAGGACATCCAGCGCTTCTACAACACCGTCATCGAAGAGCTTCCATCCAACGTCGCTGATCTTCTCTAAGTTGTGATTGTTGATGAAGGGCTGACAACACCGAGTATCTTGAGCTAACATGAGTCAACAGCTGGTGCCCGAGGATTGCTGTTGCAAGTATGATCGGCTCATCTTTTGTAACACAAGTGTCGAGGGAGGGTGACCTTTGTATCACAAGTGTCAAGGGAGGGTGATTATTAGCCAATTTGGGATGTACTCATGCCTGAGTAATCAAATGAGGTAGAGGGGCTGGCATGGATAATATCAAGCGATGGCGGGGTTTTGCACGGAGTGGTGTGATTTTCCAGGTCTGGTCAAGCACTCCATTCGATGTATTGCTACATTCAGTAAGGAAGAGGCTGTACATCTTAGCTATTGAGCTTAATTGACTCGCCTTTTGCGAGGCTAGTCAGTGAGGCGTTCTTTTAGGAATGTGCTTTTTCTTTAGGACCGTGATCGAACAACAACATTGCATTTAAAAGTGCACTCTTGAAATTTACAGGTTTCTTTGAGCTGTGTGTGTTGAGGGAAATGCGATGAGTTGAATAATTAAGTTATTTTTGTTAATGAGGTGTAGGCAAAAAGATTTTCGGTACAAACACCCTCAAATCCTACGTTTACGATTGTTTAATATTTTGATGAGAATATAGACAGGACTTTACTTAAAAATCTACAAGACGGTGTCATGTCTCAAAATTATCGTGACTGTTGAGTGTAAACTTTGAAGATGAATTTGAGTTTGGTTATATCTCTCAAATGAAGTGTAATACCATTTTAGTGTTTCTGTAATTGCGAAGCGCTGTTTCCCGATATTTAGAAGCTCGCGCAAGGAAGTTAGACAATGGCAATATGGATGTTGAAAAATCTTTGCCGACAAAATAAACATAAAACTCTCTGTGGAAGGAGGACAATGAGAAAATTGTAAATCGACAAATAGACATTTTAAATCATGTTAAACTATATATATCATCAGCTAACTGTTTTCACTTAAATCTGCCAATGGAAAAGTTTGTAGAGAGTACTTTCGAACGAAGATTAATCGAATGAAATATGTAACATTCGCATACTACACATACAGAGTAAATGTAAACTCATCTCCCGCAGCAAAGCACATGTGTAAACTACTCGATAAGGTCGCATCGTGAAATAAACTACTGGACAGAAGTTACTGTGCATCAGTATACCCCCGGATCCCCATTCCGTGTTCCTGTGCCCAGACGAGAGTAAGAGTTTACAGACTGAAAATTCACACCTGAGGATATGAGAAATTGGAACAGTCGACGAAACCACCCGGTAACAGCATCATTAATCGTGGGACAAGTGCCACACAAACTCTCCTCCCGATTGAAGCATTCGTTCTCCCGAGTTCATACCACTGTGTGCAGAGGTATGAAGTGTGGCAGTGTGTATCACAAAGTCGGAGAGCATTGTAATCCGCTCAACTGCCGAATTGGGGCAGGAAGTTCTTCACTCTGCAAAATCGTTCGGATCGAAAAGCTGTTCAATATGATGCTCGGCGAGTGAGATTCTGTCCGGGGCGAGAAGTAGCAAAGGAAGGACGCGGAAAGTTAGAATTGCTTGCCTCGTTACTTGATACTAGAACAAGGGTGATGTGTATCCTCGCTAGGTCCATAGCGTAAAATGAAACTTGATGTAAAATTTGTGTTAGGATGTGATCCATCACATAATTATTTCATTAGATAATTATTTCATTATACTCACATAATTATTTCATTAAAGATAATCTTTATCATGATATTTTGTGACAAACTCCTTAATAAAGATGATAGTCCTTAACGAACAGGCTTCTAAACCGCCACCCACAACATGGGATATTGTGCAAAATTAGTCTGTTCCCAGAACGCCCTCAGTTGTCACCCGTTAGTTTGTGCCAAATAGAAGTTAGATACCTGGAGGATTGGTGAGATTGAGAACAATAGGAGTAACTTTCTTGGCTTGGCGTAGACACTACATATGTCCCGAGCTTTGTGGAAAAGGCTGAGGTGTTCGGGTGAAATAAAAAAGCTGAGTTAAAAGAGATAGATTGGTGTTGTGTGACCAGTCTATCTCAAGTTGTATAAAAATTTGTGCGTGTCATCCTTGCGCAGGGCCATGCTAATCTTCTCTGTATCGTTCCAAATATACGATTCGAATATACAATTCGAACGAGTTTAAGGCGAAGCTAATTAGAGATATATCTTGTAAGTGAATTTCACGTTGAATCAGTTGTACTCTCCGTAGACAATGACTAAGTTAAATCTATACAAGATTTGATTTATAGTAGGGATGTGTGACTAGAAACCCTTACGATCAATCATGAAGATATTTTTGGTCATGATAAACATTGGGCGTAAAGTTTTGACATAACAAGAATATTGTAGTATGCATTTCGTGTTTCTAGATGATTTTTTATGCGTGCATGGTCGAGTGTGAAAAGTACCAAGTGTTGATGAAATTGCTTACTTAAATTACTACACAACTCTAGTCAATCTAATATACACTTCAAACCCTAAATTTTGAAAAAAGAAAAAAAATATTGAAATTTTATCGGAATCGAAATCGAAATTTTATTACAAATAAATAACTAAAATGCAAAATTTATGATGACTACTGAAATATTAGAGAAGAAGATAGAATCATCCAAAAAATGATACATTAAATATGAATATGAGAAATACCTCAAATAAGTCTAATCTTTCTTATATAAATCATTCCAAGATGTGCAAGAAAAAAATGTCTCATTTTAATCTTCCACTTCACTCTTTGTGAATCAATGACATAAGAAGTATATCTACCACACTCACAGATTCTTAATGTATAATTTTCAACTAATATACTAAATCCTTGTTTATTTATTACACGGTTTGTTTACGTATAGTTTTCAACTAACACACTCTATACCAACTAACTAAGTGCAAGGTTTGCTTCATTGTTGATCTCAATTAACAAATGAATTAGTACATTCAATCTTTACGTGTCAAATGAATTTTTTAAGAATTTGTCGATTTCAAACAAATGAATCAAAACACTCAATATATACGTATGAAGCACACAGATGTTTGACATGTCAACTATAAATTAATTATATCTCTATATTGAATACTATATACTTTTGGTGTAATTAAGATGATTATGAATATTAATTTTATTAAGATGCAAGGTCTTGGATCCACATACAATCATCAAACTTTTGAATTATCGTAGATGCTTTGACTATATATTTGTTTGTTTTCAAGTTGATATACAAGATGTATATACTTTCGACTGAATCAGAGAATCTTTTTGAGATGGTTATGAATTCAAATTTATTTGCTTGAGTATCTTTTATATTTTTAATTTCTTGCAATATTTATCAGATTTGGTAAAATATCTGATGAAATATAATAATTTTATTATTAAATATATTTTTTCATAGGAAAAAATTTGCAAAAATATTTGTACTATTGTAAATTGTTGCATTGACAAATCTTTTTTTGCAATTGTGACACATGAAATATATAATGAAATTTTATGTTTGAAGTAAGTTTCTACTGGTAAGATAGATGAGAAATGTGTAGTAACATAAAAAAATTTATGAATAAATCTGACATTAAATTTTGATGTTTATATTAAAGATAAATCATTTGTACATACACTGTACTAAGTTATTATCTTCCAAAAATTGCCTATGTAAAAAAATTGACAAGACTTTTTAAATAAAATAGTTTTAAAATATACATTAATAATTTTTTATCTAATATGATAATATTTAATAAATATCTTGATTGCAAGAATGTTTAGCTTTATAATAGATTATAAGCAGGGGTGAAAGCTCAGGAAGGTTGGTGAGAATTTTTTTTGCCTACGGCGCTACATGGCGGGAAGTCCCCGCCCATCCCCTCTCACCAGAAAAATCCTGGCTCCACCTTTGATTATAAGATCAACAATTCTATCAATAATCTGTAACAAAGAAATTGTAAGTAAAAAAATAAAGATCTTAACCTGCAACCACACACAAATATGCAAGCAGACTTGACGTCCACAATTCCTTGAGCTATAACCATGGAAACATGAAGTCTTATTTTAAAAGATCTAAAATATTGTTCGAGGCAATCTACATCTTATACTTCCGTATCGTCTCTATTGAAAATCTTAAATCCACAAAAAGTCTCAAACTCAAATTAAGACATTGCAGTTTAACCTTTAGCTTGAGTTATCATTAACATAATATAAATAAAAAACATTGATGATGTATGAAATATTGATGATTTTAATTTTTATTGCATATATTACTTTATTTATCATAATAAAAATTCTTTTTATTTAATATCGTTGGAACCAAGGTTAGATTAAAAATAAAGAATATTATTAGACAGTCTTATTTTGAGGAGCTTAAATATGCAAGATGTGAACTCTTGATCCCACCTCAATAATATAAATAGCAAACATAGACTCTAGATCCAAAGTACTTTAAAATCTGCAATCTTCAAATCGTTATTTACATTCTACATCCAACATGAAAAAAATCTCTTTGTCAAATGATAATGATAATTCTCAATGACTCAAAGTTTTGTATATGGAGCATCAAGTGGATAAAACCTCAACAACAAACATTGCATTAAGATCTTACGTCAAAAAGAGAACCATTTTGTAACATGATCATTTTTAATGATTTAAAGTTTTGCATGAAGAGCATCAAGTGAATGAGGCCTCACAAACAAGCATAACATTCAAATCTGCCGTCAAAAGCAGTATTGTCTAGTAACAATGCACATAGAAATATTAATTGTCAAGATGAAGAAATTAAAAAAAAATTGTTGTTAAGAAACATCATTTTGTTGATTATACGTGGCTTGAATTTGCGTTGTATCAATAGATTATCAAGTGCAAAAATGAAGTCAATACTAATTTTTGTTTAATCAAAGAGAAATAAACTAAGGTTTTTTCATGCATTACTGAAATCAATTTTTTGATTGATTGTATCAGAAAACTTAAGCTTTGAAAAAAAAATCCACTTGCATCATTGCTTTGACAAAAGTGAATCAATGAGATTGAAGGCTTTGAGTGTTTGACTTCATGAGATTTGCAAGACATTGTGATGAATACGCCTTAAAGTACATATACAACATAAACGATACATAATTGTTGTAGCACATGAAAACAAACAATGTGCTGCCTTTAGTGAGTTCAAGGATTAAAAAAGTAAAAATTGAATCACAATTTTCATTTCTTGCAATGCCGATGTATCATACAAGATATTGATGTGGAGTACAGAAATTTTTTTTAATACTCATTGCTTCAAAAATGTGAATCATTAAAAATTAGACCTTTCATATCATGCAAATCAAAATGCATGGATCACACATAATATTTTAAACTATGAGAAAAAAATCTTTAATATACATATGCATGGATTCAAATTCATTTTGTTGCTCAATAATTGTAACATTCACATTCTAGTCAAGTAACACAATATAAATTTGGAAAAAAATATTTTGCTATTTTGTAACAATCGAATACAACATCCAAAATCTAGCCATGCAATGCCAAAATCATAGGCAATTTTAAAAAATTTATTGTTGTAAATTCAACCGCATGCTGTTAGGCCGCATTGATAGATTATGTAAGAGAATAGCAAAATTTGATATTTCTTGCAATCATATCTTCAGACCTTGATGTCAAGCTTGACACAATCAAGACTTATTTTAGTTCACTGCAAGATTCATATGAATCATCTTGTTGATGATGAAGACATCAATCTTAATAGCAAATCACTTGTCGAGAACTTTGATCTATGTTTATACTGATCTAAGTTTTTTTTTTAGCTTTCATTTAATTAATAGCAATG